GCAGGTGGAAGGTCACTGATGTCACAGTGAATGGTGCAGACTCTGCTGGGTGAGAATGGAGTCATGGACTTGTTACAGCATGTTTTACTGTTCATCAAGTATACTGGCATCCCCCATGTGGCCTTTCCTGTAAGGATCAATCCCTAGAAGAGTGACCATGTGACTTGTTCTGCCATTGAATTGTGGACAGAAGTGTCATGTCAGTGAGTAGAATTTTGGAGAATCTGTTTGTGGTGCAGTGAGTTCCTTTATGTAGCCTTTTGCCTTGTTTCTTTTGAAAAACAAAAAAAAAACTTGGTAGATTTTTTTCCCCCTAATCCCTGAGGACTTCTTACCTTTATCCCAGTTCTTTGGAAAAGCAACTTGGTGAAGTGGGGGATAGGGTAACAAGGTCGGGAAGGGGACCCCTCAGCATGCTGTCTAAAAGTATACATTGAGGTGCAATCCATGCTAAAGGCTGTTTGTTACTGTTGCACAGTGGATTCCCAGGTAGATTGACATTTCATGCATAAGCAGTAAGCAGCTTAATGGTTTAATACTTTTTTATTGGCCTGGTTTGGTAATTAACAAGGCCTGAGTTGATTGACATCCCGTGGATAATTGAGGATTGGTGAGGGAGGTTGGGACAGTTGAAAAGCAGAGGTTTTTGAGGCTTCTTGATAAAGAGAGTTTCAGAGTAAAAGCTGAGTTGGCAGATAAGTAAAGTCTCATGGGGCTGAGTGGTTCTGAAACTGCTACACGACTATGAGCTGGGCTAGTTAGCAGCGGAGAGAGTCCTGAGAGCAAAGAGGTGATGGCAATGACTGCTATTGTCCATCAAGCCCGTTCTGATGAACAGTAACCCTGTGCACAACAGAATGAAAGACTCCCTGGTCCTGAGCCATCCCCACAGTTGTTATGTTTGAACCCACTGTTACTGCCACTGTGTCAGTCCATCTTGTTGAGGATCTGACTTTTTTGTTGACCCTCAACTTTACCAAGCATGATGTCCTTCTCCAGGGGTTGGTCCTTCCTGACAACATCTCCCAAATACGAGAGACCAAGTCTCAGCATATTGGCTTCTAAAGAGCGTTCTGGCTGTACTTCCAACACAGATTTGTTTGTTCTTCTGGCAGTTCATGTTACTTTAAATGTTCTTCACCACCACCAGATTCCAAACACATCAGTTCTTCTACAGTCTTCCTTATTCATTGTCCAGCTTTCACATGTAAATATTGAAAGTAACATGGCTTGGGTCAGGTACAAGATAGTCGTCAAACTGGTATCTTCACTCTTAAATACTTTAAAGAGGTTTTGTGCAGCAGATTTAACTAATTCAATTATGCTATTTGATTTCTTGACTGCTTCCATGAGTGTTGATTATGGATCCAAGCAAAATGAAGTCTTTGACAACTTCAGTCTTTTCTTCGTTTATCATGATGTTATTTATTGTTCCCATTGTAGCATTTTAATTTTATATACATTGAGTGCAATCCATACTAAATGCTATAGTCTTTGAAGTCCTCTGCTTCCAGCAAGCAAGGTTGTGTTACCTGCATATTGCAGGTTATTTATGAGTCTTCTTCCAATCCTGATGCCATACTCTTCTTCACATATGCAGTTTCTCCGATTATTTGCTCAGCATACAGATAGAGTAAGTATGGTGGAAGGATTCAACCATGTTGCACACCTTTTCTGATTTTAAACCATTCAATGTCCTCTTGTTCTGTTCTAATGACTGATGGCAGAAAGCAGCTGAAAGAGCTGAGTGAGATCCTACACTGGCTGTAAATTGGGGAGTTAGCAGCACAGAAACCACGCATGATTGAGAGTCCCCAACAGCAGAATGCTTCCAGGTCTTCATGGTTAACTATGACAGTAGGGGACATTTTTACTACAAGGGTTTTGCTTCAAGAAAGCTGTAGTAATTGGCCAACTGCATCCTGAGTTGCATTCAGTTGCTGTCAAGTTGCATGCTATTCTGAGTTGTTTCCTAAGTTGTATTCCAATAAACCACTTAACTGTAAGTACAGTCATGAGTTCTGTGAGCTGGTGCAGTGAATTAACAAACTCAACAGGACAAAGAAGAGTGCTGAGGAGAGGGGGAGTGGCTGATGTCAGGATGATGGACTGGCACAGCAGCTTAGTGAAGCTGGGAATCTGGGATATATTTAACCTCTGTATGATAAACACTACACTGCAAACCACAAGGTCAGTGGTTCGAGCCGACCAACTGCTTGCCAGGAGAAAAATGAGGCTTTCTGCTCCTGCAAAGATTCACAGCTTTTATAGTATTGCTTTGAATCAGAACAGACTCAATGGCATTTAACAACAGTTACCATATAGGAACCAGCTTTGTGCTGATTTTTGTTCATGAAGTTATTTGCTCATCGTGTATGGTTCTTATCTTTCATTTCTTTTTCCTATTCCCTTCTCCTGCCATTCCTCCTGGTCATCTTTCAGATAGATGCCGCACTGTTGGCCTTGGTCCATGAGTGAAGTTGAAGTAAGCAGAAGTACATTTGACATTTGATAGACATGGAGCCTGAATGAGAAACACACTTTTATTTACATCACTGAGATTTTCAGAGGTTGTTTCTTACTACAGAATAACACAGCCCGTCCTAAACAGTACAGACTCCTTTCTTCACTTCCCTCTGAGGGTTATGTCTCGTTCACGGGGTGAGTTTTGAACTCTGTGGACATCTGGTCATTCTGCTTTGTCATGTAGTCATTTTTCTAGTGGGCATTATTTCAGGCATTGGTGAAGAAAAGTGTCTTGGGGATGAGAATCTTGCATTCTAGGGTTGACACCAACACTCTATAAGAATGTGACCTTTGGGACAAATAGACCGACTTCTTAATGCCTCTGTTTTCTCCTCTATGAGATGGAAATAGAGGTGTGCTGCAGGATAACCGAAAGGTTGACAGTTTAAACCCAGCAGCCATTCCTTGGAAACCTTGTACAGGGTCACTATGAGTTGGAACTGAATTTACAGCACTTAATAGCAAATCTATATCTTGGTTATGTTGTGAAGATTAATGAAACTCTTTGTTTAGTACAGTGTTGCTTAATAAATGTTAGCCGCTGATACTAGTATTGCTAGGAGAAAGAGACCTGTATTTATCAGCTTAGTCTAAGTTGTGCTGCAGCAACCCCCAAAACAGCAATCTAACCTTTTACCCAACCCTATTCCTTACCCTTTGTCAGTTGGTTTTGGCTCTAAACCATGACTTTTAACAGCAGAGCCAAGAATAGAGGAACATCCCTTTTGGAAATTTACTGTTCCCATAGCAGAGGAAAAGGGACAGAAGAAATGAGGGAGTCATGGAGTGCTTGAAATCATAGTCACTTTACTCACATGCATTGCCCAAGGCAGGTCACAAGGTTAGGCCTGGTGTCATGGAAAGGATAGTAAAATCCTTTTATCAAGAAGCCAACAACAAACTCACTGCCATCTCATAATTCCAACTCATAGGGAAGCCATGTAGGGTTTCTAAGACTATAAATCTTTATGGGAAGAGACAGCTTTTTCTTTATCCTGCTGAACGCTGCTGCATTTGAACCACTGATTGACCATGCTGTTAGCATATATCTGCTATAAAGGCCTCTTTTATTCTAATTACTAGGATTAGCAAAATAACTGAGATGCATTTCTTCTTGCAAAAAGCTCATCCATCCCACCCACTACAGTCAGTCCATTCCAGCTCATAGAGATCCTGTAGGACAGAGTAGAACTGCACCATAGGGTTCCCTAAGTTGTAAATCTTCACAGAAACTAACTGGCACACTTTGTTCCTACGGAGCAGCTGGTAGATTCGAACTTATGACTCTTTGGTTAGCAACACAATACTTAACCCACTGTGTAACTAGGGCTACTTAAGAAGCTCACATTTTTGTAAAAACAGTCCCCTAAGTAGTAAAATTGTGGTTTGATTAAGGTGACGTGTCTAGATTGGATAGAAGGAGGAGAGAATGAGCAGCTCTGCCTGTGGTGTTAGGGAATGGGTTGGGTGAGTATCTTAGGAGAACCTCAGCTAGCCTTAAAGGGGTACTAGGCAAGAAGTAAAGAATCCTTGGGCAGTGCAAATGGTTAACCTCTAGCTGAAAGATTGGCAGTTTGAACCCACCTAGATGCGCTTCTGAAGGTAGGACTTGCATTCCGCTTCTGAAAGGTTACAGCCTTGAAAACCCTGTGGAGCAGTTCTACCCTGCACACAGGAGGTCACCATGATGCCGGCCAACACCAGCAACAAGGCAGCAGTGGGACTGTGGTCACGTGGTCTATGGCCCTGGCCAGGGTGCCTGAGGAACTCCTAGAGGTGGCAGAGCTCCTAACATACCTGCCTTTTCTGGACCACATGAGTGGAGGACTTTGACTGATCAGGTCATGTGATATACACTCACAGCAATGGAAGGTGGAGTGTTATCTGCAGAAATTATTGTGAGACCTAAACAACTTGGTTCAGACTCCCAATTCTACATTGTACAGAGAAACAGGGAATGAACAAAGCTGGAACCTTGGGCAAGGGGAGTCAGAAGCTGACTACTGCATGCCCTGATTGGTCTGGAGGGAGACTTTAGGGACTCTTTCTCTACAGGCATTAGGCTATACTCTGACTTCTTTCCTGCTTAGGTAGCAGAAACTGATCTGGAACATGGAGCTTAATTAAATCTGAGGTGTGGGGTAAAGAAAAGCTCAGTACATTTTGACAGGCAAGGGAGCAGACCTGAGAGCTTATACTGTAGAAATGAATAAAGGTAGAAAGTCCTGTGAGCCTGAGTAGAGTAAGACTCTGTGCTTGTGGACTGAGGAGGGTCTGAGAGGACAGGATGTCTGCTGAAGAGGCCTGGGGTGAGTGCACACAATGAATGATCCAGCAGCATCAAATTTATTCTTCATCCCACAGGCCCTGGATTCATGGAAACAGAAGTCAGCTCAGAAATCCCTCTTGAGGTGAAATAACTCCCAACTGGCCAGTGGCATCAAGGCAGTCACTGGACTGACTCTGGAGCCATTATGCTGCCTGATCCTTCTGCCTGTGGAGAGCAGGACTGGGAAAAGATTTTGGCTTCAAAGAACAGGGAAGATATGGAGATCATGAAGAAATGGACTCAAAACCATAAGGCAAAAGGTAAGAGTTGATGAGGGTCTAGAGAGGTGAAGAGGAGACCAAGACTCCAGGTTCAAGTTAGAATGTGTTAGTGACCAAGGCTGAGTAAATTGGCTACTTTCATCCCATGGCTTAGAAGAGTTACTCTGGGAGCATTATGGGAGGTCTGGTCTCTAACAGCTTCTCTGTTTTCCCTTAGATTTGTTTTCTAAGTATGCCGACTGGCCGCAAGAGGAGAAAAGGAAGTCTACAATACTGGTAAGTTAGAATTAGTTCAAAAATGGCATGGAGGCAGTATCTGACCTCCTGTGACTTCATAAGGGGGAAAGAGGACAATCACCAGCCCAAAGCAGATTCCTATGAGGCAGAGGTCAGGCGTGCCTCCACTCTCTGACCTTCCTTACCAATTCTGGCACCAACTATTCTGCCACAGCGCCTTCTACTTCTCTGCTGGGTTCTAGAATCCCTTGTAGTGGCCACAGGATACTCAGATAATACTCATGATTCTGAGGCTAATTAGGGAAGTTAACAACACACAATTCAGGATCAGAATACAGTCCCTTTGGGTCAGGAGTGCCTCTTCTCTGCCATGTTCACAGACACACCTCTCTCTGGTACTCGGCCTCTCAGCCATGTGGCCTGTTGGCCTCTGCCTTGTTTGGACAAATGTTACAAAGCTCCTTTAGCAGTGTTGATGAATGCCCAAAGGGCACCCCATTCTGCAAGCCAACCTCCTGCCTAAAGGCACTCAGCTCTGTCTCTTGCTCTTGGTATTGTTGCCTCTGCTACTACTTCCTTACACAAGAAAATTGGGGTCCAAAGATCCATGCTTGTGGCTTTTCTTGCATGATTGTCATGAGATCCTCTGTTCGTACTTCTGAGATGGCTCACTTTATACCCAGTAAGATGACAAAACTGACCAATCGCTGCGTTAGAGTCCCACACAACCTATTTGCATGCTTCCACCCAATCATTTGGTGGGAGTGTAAAACTATGTTACACTTGTGCAGTGCCTTTGAGTAGATTTCTGACTCATAGCGACCCTGTATAGGGTTTCCAAGGAGTGGCTGATGAGCTTGAACTGCCAACCTTGCACTTCAAACCGACCTTATAGTCCAGCTCATTAACCCGCAGCACCACACCAGGACTCCAAAAACTATGGCTAAAAGAGCCATTATTAAGTAATTCAACTCTCCCACACTTACTTTTCTGAAAAGCTGACACATTTTCCTCAATAGGCATACTGTAAGAGAGGACTTCAGAAGGTTCATCGAAGAATATAATTAAAAGATAATGGGATTTTTCTATGAACTTTTGAAGTCCCTGTGTATGTTTTCTGACCTTGGAGAGGGGTGAAGTTGATCAGCAGTTAGGGATTTCACACTTTCATGTCAGGTACCAAGTTAGGTATTTTAGAATTGTTTCTTCATTTTTGCATTTTAGTTTTCTTGTTGGAAAATATGTCTAAGATTAATATTAAGAATCTAGGACATTTTGAAATATTGATATTATTAAAAATATTAAATATACTATTAAATTTCACTTTACGTCTATATACTTAGTATCTTCTGATGACGCCATTTTGTATACTGGCCATCTTTTTATTTTTAAATTATTTCACTTTTCAAATATACAGACATAGAGAACATAGTAAAAATAAATTCTCAGGCATATTATGTAACGTCAACAATCTTCTCTAATAGCCAGTCTTATTTATAGGAATAAGATATTGTGTTCATAAATCTTAAGATCTCAAATATAAAGTACCAGAGTATCCACTTTTCCACTTCTCTGTTCAGTTCTGACACCAGCTACCTAACACAGCTCTCATTCTCTGACCCTGGCCACATACAGCTAGGCCAGATCTCACAAATTACAAAGATACTATTCTTTAGACTGCCAAAAAGGCAGATCCTAGCTACAAATTTATTATCCACACAATACCTTTGCATCTGACCTGTTGTTGTTAAGTGCCATTGAGTTGGTTCTGACCCATAGTGACCCTGTATAGGGTTTCCAAGGAGTGACTGGTGAGCTTGAACCACCGTAGTTCAGTGCATTTACCTACTATGCCAAGGCAGGACTCCTACATCTGACTTGCTGGCTGAAAATTCAAGGGTTTTCTGTCTCCCTTCAGGATGCCAGTTGTAAGTTTGGGAGTCCCTGTTGGACATCCTTACTTCTGATTTCTTATTTCTTACTAATCTTTTGGCTTTGATAATTTACAGGAATGACTTACAGAACTCACAAAAAGTGCTATGTTTGTGATGACAGCTTTATTATAACAATGAAAGAATGTGAATAAAGAGATGGGGCAAGGTCTGGGAGAGATCGTAGTGTGGAGCTTCCATGTCCCAAAAGGGGATTCACTTTCCTCCAGGAAGCACATGGCTCTTCTGTGTTCAGAGCTTTGGTTGGCTTTCTTATGTCTTGATTGATTGGATCCGCCCCTTCCTTCCCTGAGCTTATGTGAACTTTGAAAGAAGTCATGTGATACATTACTGATCTTGATGTGCTTCTATGTGTACTGTAATCTGTGAACTAAAGAACTAGCAGAAAAATTTGCACTTCCTGCAATTACTCACAGTTAATGTACCTGTGAACATTGGAAGTATTTTGTTGGAGAACTGGAATTATTTGATATGGTAACTGAAATTGGTGTATATCGAAACTGAGTAAAGTGAAGACTTCCTGTTTGTTAAGTGGGTGAATTACAAGTAAATGAATTTTGAATTATACCTCAAAGGAGTGTTTGTAGGAGCTCTGATTATTCAGTGATGAAGCACTGGGCTGCTAAAGGAAATGTCAGGGGGCACCAGCTGCTTTAGGAGAGAAAGATGTAAAGGTTTGGAAACCCTCAGGGCATTTCTACTCTGGTCTAGTGTCACTCTGAGTTGGAATGAATTTAAAGGCAACAGGTTAAAGCATTTCTGTTTTTAAACATTAGGTTATTTGTCAAGTGTCCTTCTTCTGGAAGATGACTGCCATTTTCTTGCCAATTGTTTTGCTTAGGTAAGGTGCTTTTTTATGCAGGGGCTTCAAAAATTTAATGGAAAAATGGAATGAAAAGTTAATGCATTTTTTGAAGCTCCTATATTATGGGAAAATCTCTGGATTGAGTGATAAAAGCCACTCAAAGCTGAAAGACCAAAATATATGCTCCTGAAAGCTTCAGGGCAAATAAGTGAATTGGGGTACACTTAGTAAAGAGGTAGCTCTCAGAAAGTGGGAGTGCAGAACATGCTCAGGTTTTTGCTACCTAGAGGAGATAAGGGATTGTTTTTATAGATAGAACAAAGGTGGCAGCATGCCAGTTACATAACAACAGGTTACATAATAAGGGAGTCCACGTGCTTACTTGTGTGTGTTATTTAAAAAACATTTTTTTTTAAGTGCCAATAAAGTACTAGACTGGTCCCTGGACTCATATTCTCATATGAAAGTCTCACAGGGGACCAGGATGTTTATCAGTTTTAGCATTTTTCCTGTATACCCCTCATGCACGATGATTATTAAAAAAAGATTTCATTGGGAAAAGTTATTAAAGTAGGGAAACCAAGAGTGATGTTACAGGTCCCATTTAGTCACCTGAGCTCTTCAGAAATGCTCATTCCAGACCCCATCTGTTTACTCCCATTTTTCTCTGTAGTTGAACTTGCCTTCCATCTTCTCCTCTAAATCTTCACCATCCCTGTGTCTATCACAAGCCCCACCTCCATGATGCCTTCTGTTTCTTTCTAGCCCCCCTATACTCTCCCATCTCTGAAATCCTCCTTTATGAGTTCTCACAGTCACTCTCTGGAACACTGCTTTATGCTTTCAAATTCAGTCACAAATGGTTTCTGCAGTGAAGTCCTGCATGCGTAGGGGTCAGGCTGTGTTCTGTGCTTCACCTGGGCTCCCCACAGATGTGATCACAAAGCCAGGGGTCCACTCACGGCCAGAAGGACTTGATCTAGAGAGCTGTGTTCTCTGCAGAGAATTAGAGAAGCTTCTTCAGATCCACGCCCTTTCACACCCGTGAAACTCCTCTCATTGTGAAAATGGATGGAGATTTCCAATGCATATCAATTCACTGCTTATTCTAGGAGCCGGTTACATTTGAGGACGTGACTGTGGTCTTCACGGAGGCAGAATGGAAGAGACTGAGTTCTGAGCAGAAGAGCCTCTACAGAGAAGTGATGCTGGAGATTTACAGGAATCTGTTCTCACTGGGTGAGAATGTGCTTTCTTTTCCTTCATTAATTCAGTAGATAATTGTCTACTACCTACTGTGTGCCAGAGGAGCCCTGGTGGTCCATTGGTAGAGCACTTGTCTGCTAATTGAAAGTTCAGCAATTTGAATTTAAAAGCTGTTTTGTGGGAGAAAGATGTGACACTCTGCTTTCATAAAGTTTTATAACCTTGAAAACCCAGTGGAGCAATTCTACTCTGTGCTCTGCGTCATTGTGAGTAAGAATCAACTTGATGTCAGTGGGGTTTGTTTTTTTCTGAAAAAATTTTTAAGCTGCATTTTTTTTTTTTTTCACCCTTTAGCATCTTGAAAATTGAGATGTGGGCTAATGTACCAGAATGAAAAGCCATTTGAACTGTAAGTTCAGCGGTTCAAGCTCACCTGCTGCTCCTCGGAAACCCTACACAGGGACGCTATGGGTCAGAGCCAACTTGATGGGACTTGACAACAACAGCAACTTAGTATTGTGCTATAGCATGTTGTTAAGTGCCATCAGTGGGTTCAGACTCATGCAACCCAGTATAGTTTCCGAGGCTGTAAATCATTACAGAAGCAGAAAGTCTCATCTTTGTCCCTAAGGGTGGCTGGTGTGCTCGAACCACTAACTAACTGTGTGATCACCACACTCCCTATGGCAAACAAGACAGCAATATTTTAAATTTTGGTGTACATAAAATAATGGTGTGCCTTAAAATAAGTAACAACTTAGATTAGTGAAATGTAATAGATACGTAAAGTAGAATTCTTACTATGGTGGTGGTGGTGGTTATGTGCCGTGGAGTCGGTTCCAAGAGGTTACAGTAAAACATGCTTAAATGCCTCTATTTTAAGAGACCTGAGTTTGTTTGTAATTCTACTAAATCATATCTGTAATCTTTGGTAAACCAGTTCCTTTCTCTGTTTCTCAGTTTCATTGTCTCTAAAATGAAAGATCCATATGTCAGTGGGTTTTAATCTTTTTTTTTTATTTTTAAACTGTATGAAAGGTTCCTTGATTGTCTGAACAGTTTGTTCTTAAATACTAACATAAAGGTTGGTGGTCCAAACCCACCCAATGACACTGCCAAAGAAAGTCTCAGTGATCTGTTTTGGTAAAGATTATAGCCAATAAAACCATGTGGACCAAATTAAAAAAAATAAAATGAGATATAAATTACTATAGAACGGTTCTACTTTGTACTAGTTGGGGATGGCTCTGAGCTGGAATTAAGCTGATGGTAATGGGTATGCTTTCTGTTTTGTTTTGGTTTTGCTTTTGCTATGTGTTCTAGACACTCAGAACACATTGGTAAATGTAACAGAACTCACTGTCCACATTAGGCTTACCTTCTGAGTGTAAGGCCATGGATATCACGCAGTAAATTTTATATACAGAGACTTCAGTACATATGTCAAAGGTGACATGCCTTTAAGTGAAAAGCTAGCATAAAATAGAGCAGGAAAGGGGGTATTGGATGCAACTGTGGCTGGCTAGGTTTTGAAACTGGGTGTTTAAAATAATTGAGGAGGTAACATTGGACCACGGATGTAGGGTTCTAGTTAGAACTCTGGGTAGCTAGGGTAAGGGCATTTCAGATGCAGGGAATTACCCTTGGTCCCAAGGCCTTAAGGAAGGGATGTGTCTGTCAAGTGTGAGGAAATGTGAGGTGGCCAATGTTACGTTGGGCACAGTTTGTAAAGGGGAGAAGAGTGAGAGATGCCTTCTGCAACAAAATGAAAATTAAATGCCACTTTAAAAAATGGGTTTTAGATTTCACAAACCTTAATTTTCTTTTTTTTTATTCATTGGAAATATTTACAATGATTTTTAAATTGGATGGATACATATGAAAGGATTCAAAAAGTTTGTGGAAAAATTCTATTAACTTTTAATCTCATTTTTCCACAAACTTGTGAAGCCTCTTTTTTGTCACCAATTAGTCCGTTATTTAGATCAGATGTTGGTCAGCTTTCTGTGTAAAGGGCCAGATGGTAAGTATTTAGGTTTTGCAGCTATATGGACTCTGTCATAACTCTCAGTTCTGTTGTTCTAATGCAAAAGCCGTTACCAACAATAAGTACACAAATGGCCATGGCTGTGTTCCAATAAAATTTTATTTAGAGACATTATTGTTGTGACTTTTCCCCTAACCATATAAAAAATAATCTTAGGTTTCATGCTATGTAAAACTGGGCAAAGGACTGGATTTGGTCTCTGGGTCATCGTTTTTCGTTTTGTGTTCTAGGTCAGCATTACTCAGTAAAATCATATTGTGAGCCACATAGGTCATACATGGTGTGGCACTGTAGGTTAAGCACTCAACCATAAGGTCATTTTGAATCTCAAGGACACTGGTTCAAACTCACCAGTCACTCATTGAAAACCCTATACAGGGTTGCTATGAGTCGGAACTGACTCAACAGCACTTAACAATAACAAATAGCTATGTTGAAAAAAAAAGTAAAGCTAAACAAGTGAGATTAATTTTAATAATTTTAATAATGCATTTTATTTACCCCATTATATCACATTATTATTATTCGATGTGTGGTGGTGGTAGTGATTGTGTGCCACTGAGTTAGTTTTGACTCATTGTGACCCTATATAGGGTTTCCAAGGTTGTAAGTCTTTACAGGAGTAGAAAGCCTCATCTTTCTCCCGAGGTCAGCTGGTAGATTTGAACAGCTGACCATCCCAACTATGCTACCAGTGCTCCTTATTTCAGTGTGTAGTCAATGTAAAGCATATTCCTTAGGTATTTTACTGTTTTTTCTTTGTATGAAGTTTTTAAAACCTAGTGTTTTGAACACTTAGAACAATTATATCTTAGTTCAGACTAGCCATGTTGCAAGTCCTTGGTAAACGTATATGGTGAGTGGTTACCATATTGAATATTACGTTTCTAGATACTCCTATATTTCTAGAGAAGCCATGTAGAGCAAAAGCACACTTTTGGACACACATATCAGTTCCAGGTAGGAGTTTCCTTTGAATAACATAACTATTTCCGTGATGCAGATATATTTTGTTCCATTTTGTTTTCTTTGACATATTATTACCAGGTTTGAACTAGCCCTATCATGAACTGGTTCCATCACCTTTAATGCAGGTGGTTCATTATTACTATTGAGAGGCCTGTTTATTTGATTTTGCAAAATTAGTTATCAGACTCGCAGACACGGGCAGACTCAAGGCATGGCTGGCTTACAGTTTAATTCCCCTGTCTTGAAAAAGTTCCTCCTCCAGTTCCCCTTTTACTGGGTACTATGGAGTTTACAAGGAGCTCTGGTAGCGTAGTGGTTACGAATCGGGCTGCGAACCTTAAGGTCAGCGGTTCGAAACTACCAGGTGCTCCGCAGGAGAAAGATGAGGCTTTCTACTCCCGTAAAGATTTACACCCTCGGAAACCCTATACAGGGTCGCTATGGGTCGGAACCGACTCGATGGCACATAACAACAACAACAATGGAGTTTACAATCTACCCCAAACATCATCTACTAGTCCTTGCTGGTAGCATTCTCCTTTAAAGTTAATTTCCCTCCTCCCCATGAACTTCCCTATTTCCTTGATGGGTGTATTCTTATATTAAAATTTCTAGCTGGTCAAACTAGTCACTTCCTCTCCCCTGAGCTCCTTTTGTTATGCTAGCCTGCTACCCCCAAGATCCCCCTTAGTCCTGAGGATGGATTACCCCAAGAGCTATTTCTCACTTCCCTGACTAGATACATTAGGTCCTAAACCATCCCAGTCAGAGGCCATCCAACTTGAACACCTCTGTTTCTGGGAAATCCTCAACAACAATATCACTTGTCTCATTCTTCCATTAATTCTCCCTATGTTGTCTGTCATGGGTGTGACTTCCACTCATTGGTGAAATGTGGGGCTCCTACAAAATACATCCCCCAGTAAAGTGGAAAGTATTAAAAATAAACTATGTAGAATAAGTATAATTGTCCTGCAAAGTGACAACAACTTTTTAATATTTGGAAGCAAAGGTCAGTTGGAACCACAAAGCCAGCAGTTCAAACCCACCAGCCACTCCTCAGAAACCCTATACAGGGTCTCTATGAGTATGGACTGACTCAGTGGCACTTAACAACAACAATCAAATGCCTGTTCCATCCCCACTCTGTCTTGGTTTTCTCTGATCTCAACAGTCCTGAAGAAAATATTCAGATCGTCCCTGGATATGTTCTCAGGTTTTGTCTGGGAAGATGTATGATGCAGTAGCAAGAAGTTAGATCATGAATGAGCTAGACTTGGAGTCAATGTCTAAATCATGACTTTGACTATAAATCCTGAGCATATGATAAGTAGTCAGCAAATATACCTTCCACATTGGCCTCATCATTGCTCTCTGTTGCTTCAAGCAGTTACTGAATCTCTCAGAGATTCAACATCTACCCCAGGAAAGGTGGAATGGAAATGACTTACTCATAGTGGTTCCCATGATCTGCCAAGTTTGTGAAATGCAGTCAGAAGGTGATTGCACAGATCAAGTGAGACTATGTCAGAGATCTGACATGGCCCTGGGATGCTCAGTGCCTGTGCTCAACAGCTCTCAGATGCACCACTCACTCTTTTTAAAATTTTTTTGTTGTGAACTGAGTGATCTTTTACAATGGGAGAACATCGGCTTTAAACCATCGTTTCATGGCAATTATTACAATCTCCTCCTTGTATCATCATTCAACAGTATTTGCTCCCATTCCCTCTGTTTTTATTTTTGGGAGGTGGGGGGGTGGGGTGGGTAGGGAGATGTACACAAAAACAATCAGGACTATATAATAATTTAAACAACAAAAGGGCACATTCTGCAAGCCAATGCAGATGGTTCTTGACTTATGTTCATATTCAAGAATGAAAGTATTCAAACTGTGCTTATGGCTGTCTCTCTCTCTCTATAGTACATTTCATTATCAGTGATATGTACTATGAGGAGTTCTGGTAGTGTAGTAGTTATGAATTGGGCTGCTAACCTCAAGGTTACCAGTTCTAAA